CTTCGTTTTAGTATCATTTTAAAGACTGATCAGTCCTGAAGGAGTGTGATGAAAATAAAGAAATTCTATTCTTGAGTTTCTCTTCTTTCAACGGCATTTTTGGTGAATCAAAAGATTTACTTATCCCTTTAAGGCACATTAATTTAATCATTCAATGTTGTTAAATAATACAGCGTAGATAATTAAAAAGAGGTGTACACAGCGACCTTAACATCTGTTATGCCCTCCACTCATCACAATACCTCATTCAGTCCTACAATCCCCAGAGAGTCTAGAAGAACTTTTGTTGGCAGGGAGTGTATGTGCTTAGCCCTTGGCCACATTGCGCGCAGACTTGTTCCTGTATTCTCACCACAGTCAACAAGCAGGTGTAATGGTGTCTTTTTAGCCGAAACGTACAAGCGACGGGGTTATGTGAATAGATTTCTAACCTGCTCTCAATCAGCAGTTTTCCGTGAGGTTGCCCATGACAATCATCAGTTTCTTTTGGCTTGCCGTCGTGCAATGGTTTTTTGGCAATTCTTCTCTATCCTTGTTATTATTTGTATTCTGAGTTCTCCCGTCCGCTTCCTCAATTCTCTCCCCTCCTCCGTGACCTGGTATCCAAATCGATTGCCCGACACGTAAGTTTGGCAAAACAAGCAACTCCAAACATTTTTCATTAAAAAGACAGTAAATAGTCTTTCGTAAGACAAATCAAAGACAGATGGCAAGTTAGTTCGAAAGACTTTTGTTATTCTATCACAAAAGCCTTAGAAAAGGAGCTCTCTCATTCACCACTCGTGGTGAAAAGCTGAGCGGATGGGATTTTCTGTCGAAAAACGGGATTTTTTGCATACCATACTTAGCAACACATTTCAGTAAGTAATTGATAAATAATAAACAGTTCACATTATCAATCCTATTAGCAGAACTTTATTCACTTGAAATGAATTTTAATAGCAAGAGCATTAAATTTCCGACTTTACTTTTTCACACGCATTGTTGGACCACTCTAATGCAAACACTTGTATTTTTCATCGGAAGGCATTTTATTTATAACTTTAGTATAAAATGCGATTTAGGTTATATTTGGATGGGATTTTATTAGCCCAGTTACTGGCAACACTGGCGTGACTTTCGAAAGATCACGAGTTCGATCGTGAATTCGAGTCTCGGGCGGCGGAACTTTTTTTCTTTTTTTATTAATTATAAAAAATATTTTTTTGTATTTATTTAATTTTTAAAAACATTTTTTATTATTGCTTTGTGCAATTTTTTAAGCGCGTGTTAAGGATTATTAATTATCTTCATTTTAATGGTATAAACACAGCCTTTTTATTTTAATTTTCGCCCATTATTACGATAACAATAAGCAGCTCTATTATTGTGCCCTCTGAACTTTTCATTAAGCCTTGTGTCTGTCAACAATATTTGTTCTTCTTTCAACTGAATTCCTAATGCAAAGTCGTGAGCCTGCGAAAATTTCTATTTTTGTTAAATACTTTGCTGTCGGAAAAATGTGTATCTATTCAAGTGAAACCGGCTGTATTTACACTCAAACATACAAATGCGCACGTCTTTGCGCAGTTGATTTGGTAATTACTTTACTCACATGAGGGAATATTCGAGAATTGCATGTGGAAACCTCGGAATATATAAATAATAATAAAATAAACGCAATATATCAAGATTTTCCATTTTACGCACTTATCTGCAGTATTCAGTATTCTTTGACCATACATATGTATGTACATAAACAGGCCTGTATCTACTGCACACTCGCTTTCTTAACTCTTTCGTACATACTTACATACATCTCTGCGTACTTACGTACTTAGCATTAGCATTAGCATTACTTTTCTTTTTTTTTTTTGTTCTTTTGCTCAAATTTGTACTGCCAGTTATGTTTAAGTAAGAATGACAAAAAGCATGTACACATATCCTCGTTATTAGTTCAAAATGCTGCCTTGAATATTTTGTCAGTTATTTTTTGTTGTTAATATTCTATAAGTATATTCTCAGATACCAATAACCTGAATGTTAGTTTAGCTTAGCTTAGATAATTTTAAGTGACAGCCCCACAAGGGACCACACTTACGCAAATAAAAAGAAGGGAATTAATGAACAGAGACGGTGGGTGAACAGAAACGGTGGGTCTTTAACAGACAGTTACTGAGTTATTTAGATAGAGTACGAGCCGAGTCGTTCGATCAGGCAGAATTGGAAGCTGCAGCCTAAATAGCTTAAGAAGTCAGGCCAGAAGGACCTGGAAAACTGAGCTTTTTACAAAGCGCTCAATGAGCTGACTTTGGAATTCCCTTCTACTTAAACAAAACGATAAGTAAAGCCACCCGAGGCTGTCGAAGAGTTTTTGGTCGAACATGGGGTGTGAACCCCAAATTAATAGCATGGCTATCCCGCACAATAGTCCGCCTGTTTGTAACTTATACTTCCATAGCCTGGTGGCGTAGCCTGCAATTTCACGTCGTAAACAAACTCAAAAGATTGGCTTTACTCTCGGTTACAGAATCAATAAGAACTTGTCCTATGCTAAAGGAAATGTTCTTTGGAAGGAAATTTCCGGTTTAAATCCCATACCGAGAGGTCTGCTAAAACGGTTTACCTAAATGAGATCCCAGATATATACACTGGTACTCAGATGGACCACAGATAGAAGGCAGAGCAGGTGTGGTTGTCTATGGAACTGGCACCAAGCTTTCTATCAGGCCGAGGTAAGGGGTTGAAAGCACAATAAGCATATTTATGCAGGGTCCCAGGACACTGCAGTAGGTCGCCGGCGAACTAGCTAGGGAAAGCTAAACGGCTCAAAGTTTGTACTTGTGAAACCGGAACCATTCTGCTAACTTATTTGGACTTCCTCGAGACCCATAATCGAATCGTGGGTAAAACTCAGAACGCAGTAGCTAATGGGTCTTAGACAAGCTTAACTTTTTGTTTACCCTTTTTCTAGGAAATATATAAGTATATCTTTGGAATATAGCCAACATCAAGCTGCTTACTGGTTACTTAACTGGTCATAATCACCTGCGCTCTCACTTTCGCCTTATTGGCCTATCCACAGAGACACGATAGCGTCTTTGCCTCGAAGAGGAGGGAACGTTGCAGCACGTTATGTAAAATTGTCCACCATTGGCCAGACCAAGACTGCAACACTTCAGTTCTTCCACAGTCGAAGCCCCTGGTATCCGAAATTCGTCTGCTAATAAACTGTTAGAATTCACTAGTGAGGTTGATAGTATCTTGGGCCGTCAGAGTTAGCAACTGTCATAGGGATACTGAAGATCTTCTAGGTTTTCTATATATCGCACTCTCCCAGGCTGACAATAAAATTATAGTTTAAAAAACTAAAACCTGGTTATTAAACTTTCCATTCGTACTGTCATCAGGTTACTTTAAATAATGGAAATCGCTGCATCTTTTAGGCGCATCAAAAAAAAACGAGAGAGCTGTTTCATTTTGAACCATTCATTATTTTCTATGCAAACTTGGCATTCGAGGTCTCACAATCATGTTGTTTGTTAGGTTAACTGTCATCTGTTAAGCTTTTGCTACATTCGCAATTTCCTTTGGTAGAAAACGCAACACTGGTTATTATTTCAGAAAATTCTATGTGCCTACATTACACTCGACTAGAAGGAAAATTTCCCATTTATTCTTGAATCTTTTTAGTATTCTCGGATTTCTATTTTTGGTAATTTTGGACATTGAGCCTAGCCTAGCAAGAAACATTCAAAATCATAATGGTACAAGCCGGAAAAATACAGCTATACATACACACTTGTATATACATATGCACGTATTTGCTTAGATATGGATGGACGTTAGGGTGGTTCTAGTTCTTTGCAAAAAGAGATTGATACATATGTTATGAAAATATTAAAACATCTGGAAAAAATAAGGGCACAAAGGGCTCATTTCGAACGTAAAGGAGTCTATCCTAGGAACCTGTGTGTGCCTTTGCTGGAGCGGCCTCGTGTTCCAAACAATCAGCTGTGAGTTGAATTAATTTGGTTACTTAAAAATCTTGTACATGGACAGTTTTCCAACAGTCGTATAATTAGCGCTCGATCTGAGTAAATGTATATTAGGGTGGCTAGAAATGCATGTGATAAAGTAAAGTCGGAGTTTTAATGCTTTTTTTTTTTATAAAAATATATTCAGAGCGCTCCAAGCGCTCAAGTTTTTCCATGTAGTTTATATTGGAAAAAAACAATTTTTCGTAGAAATTATAGAGAAATCTTGAAAATCAATATTTTTCTATCGGAAAACTTCGTTTCTCTTCAAGAGACTTCCAAAAACAATACCCTTTTGTTTATTTAACCATTTTCTATTATTAACAAGTTTTTATAGGACCACTGAAAACCTCAAAAAATTCAATGGCAGACCCATTTAAGGCTTCTAGGGGTCTCTTGAAGAGAAACGAAGCTTTGCGATCGAAAAATATCGTTTTTCAAGAACTCCATAGAATTTCTACGAAAACTTGTTTTTTCCCCATACAAAATTCATGGAAAACTTCGAGCGCTTAGAGCGACCTCTAAATATTTTTCGATTTTAAAATAAAAAAAACAGGGGTATAATTTTTTCGAAGTAGAACAATCTTAGGGGGTAAGAGTATAAAGATTCCGACTTTACTTTTTTTCTTGACCACCCTAATTTACATACATATCCATCTTACCGACCCATAGTTTCCCATTGAATATCAACCAGTCTGGGGCGCTTCATAAATCCCGGTCCCGATTTCCGCCGCCACTCAGACTTTCTCGGTTAAAGCAGATCTCTATTCTAGCGGACGGGACTCAACAACATATGTGAGCTGCACAATTTTAAACTTACATTTTTTTTTTTATAAATCTTTTTTTATTATTTATGTTTTTCAAGGTTACAGGTTTTCCGAAAATTATCCTGATTTAATCCCCCAATGATCCCGAACTACATATTTATATCAAGTAGCAGCGTTGCTAGAAGAGCTGATTAGATATGTTTTTCTTAGTACTACTTCTGAATTCGTCGCAAATTTTGCGCATACCGGGAGCAAAGATGTTTACAAGCAAAAAAAAAAATCCATATGTGCTGGTACACCCTAATGTATTTATGCAGGTACATACAATTTTATTCGCACATGTTTTTCAGCGTAAACAACCCCAAAGCTTGGCTTATTATCTCTGGCGCACGCTCGTTTACCGCCGAAAAAAAAAAACAGAACTGTCCAAAGTCCAACCAGGAGGACCTTGCTTGAACTAAGTACAACTAAGTATAAGTTAATGTGAATATTTTTTAATTCACTTATTTATGTTAAGTTTGTGTTACATGTTAACAGCTTTATAATCGTTTGACGTCAATTGATTTGCCGCGCGAGACACATTTTTGCGGTGGTGGAGAAGATTTCCTTAGTAGCAGCTCGGAAGCTTATCAGACAGTAAACAACAGCGTGCGCTGCAGCTACCACATCCAATTGGACTTTCAAACTGGCTAGAGACAAAAACAAGCATGCTCGTACAAATATAAAATTTAATCGATTACAAATTAATTAATTGCTGAATTCCTCATCGGGCACGGGGGGGGGGGGCGCATAGCCCCCATAGCTTCATGCTACTCATTAACGAATTTGCTGTTACGCATTTGAGTTGATTAGCTTTGTTGGTCAGAGTAAATATTTGTCTGCAATGCATAACAAAATATTTTTATAATGACGCATTTATTTGATTGCAGTTGTTTTTATTGCCATATAAGAGGTAAATAAGTTGCATTAATAAAATTGTTTTAAAATCAACTTTGTAAATTTCATTAAAAATATTTCGTGAACTGAAGATTAAATTTTTGTTCGGGAGGGAAACAGGTTACAATAGGGGTCACTGCTAGTGGTTACTCGGCTCCTAGCGAAAGAGCGCATTAGTTTGCTGTATATCGCATGCAAATTGTCATTTAGAAACTTCTTCCGAAATCAAACTGAAAAGCTACGTCAGTGTCAGTGGTGTACTTACTTTTAAAGTAAACCATAGGCAATCAATTGTCCAACTACCTAAAAACCCCAGCGCATCCCTCTACGCGACCACTATGCGCTCTCCCACGTAGTTGTTTTCTATTTGAATGATTTATTGATAATTAATAATTATAAATATGTATTCGATTTAACTATGTACGCGTCATAATCCAGGTCAAGCGATTGTCCAACAAAGTACACAAATAATAATTTTTTTTTTCCTTATTTTCTGAGTACTCATTTACCACGTATACAATTTCGTTCGCGCTGACTTCTGTAAACAATGTTTGATGAATTCGAAAAATATATATTTTTTTTATAATAAAATCTATATTTAGTTTAATCAGGCCCTAAGTTAATGTAAAGTACTCGTTTACACACTTTGCTAATTGCTTTGTCGTCAGAGATGCTTACATTCATACATATGTACATAAGTATGTAAATACTAGGATGCTCGATTATTCGACTTTTTTCAAAAACCGAGTTTCGAGTTATTTAAAAAAGGCAACTTAAAAAACAGGTTTCCAATTTTTAAATTCAGAAAAAACCGGTTAGGGCGGTTAATTGTTTCTAATTTTTCGTAATTAATAACTTTTATGTCACTTTCCACAAAATAAAAAATACCTATAATGAATTTACAGCAGTTTCATAAATATAAATTAAATGTAAATTAAATGAAATTGTTCGATAACAAAATTATGATTCATTCGATATGCGAACAATTGGAAAAAAACAAAAACAAGAGTAAAAACCTAGTCAGTCACCCTAGTAAATATTGCTTACGTATGTAAATACATACTAACACAAGTTCTGGACGACTGATAAGAAATGTGCTTCTATTTAGAAAGGAAAATTCTAAAATCTATTAAAATACATACATACATACATAAATTAAAAGTTATAATAACTATACGACACCTAAATTTTGGCAAGTTGTGACTATTTATTCTCGACAGGCAATGGTCAACCTCCGATAATATTTCTGCCATGAAAAATACCTTCTCATAAAAATACAATCGCCGTTCGGACTCGACGTAAAGCTGTAGGTCCCTCCTCTTTGTGTAACATCAAGGCGCACGCCACAACTCGGAGGAGTAGCTTGGCCTAACACTAGCAAATCGAGAGCTAAATTTGACCATAGATGCAGGTTTTCGAAAAATTTCGGCCCCCTTTATTGTTATTAAAAATTTTACGTTTAATTCAACGGAATTTATATTTAGCATGTTTTGCATACATATGTATGTTTGTGCTAATGGTAACCTTTATTGCTTTGTTATATGTAGAAAAACGCTCCACGAATTTATAAATTTATGAATCACACAGGGCGGTTGGGTTAAGAATGTTAGTACTTCACTAGACGAGACATATTGGAATGGTTTCAACCCAGCCCATTTCAAGACTGAAACATGACTGAAACATGACTTTAAGGCTGTCCATGGTTTAAACCAAGGAATTGTATATAATTTTCTTCCAGAGAATTATTAAGTTTCAGTAATAAAAAGAAATTCGAAGTTTTTAATGTACATATTATTCGTACTTTGTAGAATTGTTTGCATTCGAAGAAACCGCCACATCTTCTCCCTCCCGAATTCATTCCCCCGCCATTGCCCGGTTTTATTGAGCCTCTCTGCCTGGCAACCCTGGTGCTGGGCGTTATTTCGTTGAACCCTTAAAATAATCTTAAAATTGTTACCGTGTAAGTTGAAAATTCTAGGGCGTAAGAAATATTTTAAGCGCCCTTTTCTAAAGTATCTTTTAAAATTAGTCTGCTTTTTAAACAATTTTTTGGAGAACTAAATTTGTTTTTTAAGGACAGATAAATAATAAAAGTTACTTGAGTAAACGGCGCTAAGCGCAATTTCGCTAGTAACCGCACCGGCCTTACGACCTGCACTAGGCCACCCGAAAAGTTAATTTTAACCGTTAGAATGTTTTCAAAAAAGTTGTTTTTTAATTTTTAATTCAATTGGTCTTAAAACTTATACATACGTTAATGTTTTATTTATTTACTGTATTTAAATGACATACAACGCATGCGTACATACATATGTATTTATTTAAATTGCAATATTATATAATAATTCTTAATATAAATACATATGTGACGGGAAAAGTCAAAAGGGATTTTGGGGGGTCACGTGATAATTTCGCCAAGGCACGTTTTGTGTGAAATTTGCAATGCAAACACTATGAACTTACATGCCGACGAGGTGGTTTAGCGGCGTCAAAAGAAGCAAAATATTTTTAATAACTTTTACGCATAGAAGATGCCGCTCCGGTGAAACCATATTGCGAATCAGCACCCATGGGTGGGCAACGAAAGCAAGAGCACCCACGAAGAAAATGGAAGGATAAATTGCAGCGCACATCCACGAAGGAAAGAGGCAATTGGCGCAGCTTTTTGGTCTCGGCTCAAACCGACTAACGGTTGTATTGCCAAATAAGAAGAAGATGGCGAAGATGATTTTTTGTATTTAAGTTTTTTTATAAATTCACTTCAAAGATGGATGAATTGCCAAACAAAACATTAAAGTAATTTTTCTCGAACCGTAGGTCCCTTTCAACTTTCTCTGTCACATATATATACACATTCATAGATATATATAATGTATGTATAAACTACGAGTAGTTAAGTAATTTACAAAGTACAATCTTGAAAAATTTTATGACGAACAACAGATACAATCCAGTGTATAGAGTAGTAGTTATTTAGAGAATACATATGTATATATGTATATATTTATGTACGTACGTATAATTCTAACCTAATTCATCTTCTACATACAGTGCTGGTCACTTGAATAGCGCCCCCTGTTGAACAACAGCATTGACAGTTTTCCTTTTGTGTATTAATTATTCATAAATTTTTTATAAAATATAGCTTATAGAGTACAAAATTTATAATTCAAAAAATATCCAGCAAAATTTTTACAATGTTTTAAATAAAATTTTTATTTTTTTTTGAGTATGCATTTCTCAAGTACCTACAAAATTGCACTGATTTTTGAGGATTTTTTTTTTGCCCATATTAAAAAATTTGCGGCCAAAAACATTACAAAAATCAACGCAATTTTATAGAAATTTGGAAACTGCATATTTAAAAAAAATTCTAAAATTCTTTTTAAAAAAGTATGAAATTTTGATGAAATTTTTCCGAATTATTAAACATATGTAAATTTTGTATAAAGTTTGAAAATTGGATTTGCATGGTTTTTGTTACAGAATATGGGTGTGTTAGGAAATGCTTCAAGCCGAAGCATCAGTCTACTTTATTTCTAAACTATAATTAGTGGAAATGCCTTATTTACGCAACTGAGTTCCAATTCGACATTTGACCGTGAATGCGCATATTGCACATTCCCCTCAATTATAGTTCAGAAATATAATTTTTATAAAAAAAAATTTATGAATCTTAAAATAAATAAAAGAAAACCAGTACTGACGAACAAAATGGGCGCTATTCAAGTGGCCGGCACTGTATATATGTTTTTGTATTTGTGCGTACGATTGTTTTATTGTCAATTTTATTTATATTGTTTAAAGCTGTAAGGAGATACCTTTTTCATAAACATAAAAAAAAATCATGGTATCAAAAACTTTATTAGAATGTCAATGGCACAATGGCATGTTGCTCAGTACTACTCTTTTAATTTATTGGTATTTTGCTTTCTCACAAAAAAAATTGCATTTCTTCAGCGCTTAATACTAAAACTTAACATATGTACTTAAGTGGTTTTTATCTTTAAGTTAAATTATATTTGGCATAGGTTCTGCACACTTTTTGGTATTTTGAAGCTCAGCATTTACTTTCTTATTTCATGTTGTTTTTTTTTGTGGGTAAATACTAAGTTTTTGCTTAAATTCTCTATTAATGTAATTAAACAAAAAATCGTGCAGAGCAGTTAAACTCTTTAGAAAAAGGCACACGCATTGTCAGTATTTATATTTGTAAACCAGTTGCTCTGGCAAGCGCCACGATCATTCTGTGCGCTGAATGATCAGCTCGATCTTGTCACCGGCCGCTGCTATCAAAGGCACTGTCAGGCAACAATCAAAGTCCTGCGTTTTCATCTCATTCACCTGCATGGTGAAAGTATTAACTCATTTTCTTCAGCAAATAAAAATTTAAACCAAAGCGAATCACTAACCTGCATAATTCTATCGAACGGCTTTAGTAGGCCACTCAAATCGGCCGGTCCACCAGTGCGTATGCGGTTGATGAACACACCGCGTTCGTACAGACCATCCGACACCGAAAATCCATAATCATCGTATACCTTATCTTTTTTCAATGTCACATGGAAGACACGATGCTTGCCATCTTTGCTGCCGCTGGCCGAAGTCGCGTCCGTATTCGAGGAGGGACTGCGTGGACGACGCTGCACCTTGGCATATATGGCCTGTGGCTGTGGCAAATTAGCAGCATCTAGATGCCCACCCGCCATAATGCTTGATATTTCATGCGCGCGCAATATTTTCAAGTCAACCGTATCGCTGAGATTTTGCAAAATACTTGTGGCATGCGACAGTGGCATACCCTGCACTGAATCGTCGTTGATGGCCAGCAGTTGATCGCCAACTTGAATTTGACCGTGCTTGTGTGCGATGCCGCCTAAAGGAAGAGAAAGTTTGGCAATCAAGGTATTGGTGGGCGTGTATGTACATATGTGCGTATTCTGTGTCATTCACCTTCCACAAGTCCACTTATGGTTATCGGCTTGCCAATATCCTCGCTACCGGCAAGCGTTATGCCTAACAAGCCGCCTTTTGGCTCCAGTCGCACGGTGAAGATAATCTGATGAAGACTGCTGCCGCTGCTCTTGCTACTCGAGCTCGTGGCAGAGCCGTATACCTTATTTTCCATGGGTGGTGGTAAGGCACTGCAATCGGCACTGGAAGAGGAAAAACAAATTTTCTTTTAATTAAGACAATTTTCTATATGATAAGGGATACTCTTTAAAGTTTTGAGGCCCAAGTCTGCGACTAGAAATGCCAAAGAGATTACTTGGAGAAATTGAAGTGAAAACGTTAAAAATAGCCATGAGTCCTCAAGGCTTAGATTTAAAGGTTCAGACCAGAAACTATGCGATAAGAAGCGCAAGTCATTCAAATTACTGCTGCTGATTTTCCCAATAATATAGAGGCCAAGAAGGGCTGTATGGAAGCTTTCTCCCATACAGCCAACTTGGAAGTCTAAACCTGTCAAGACTACGGGTTGAACAACTGCAGAAATGTACGGAGGCTCCACAGCGTTGGCTAGCGTTAACCCACGGTAGGTGATTTGATAAGAATATATTGTGGCACTTCAGGGATTGGTCAGATTTGTTTATTTATCCAGGGATTTCAAGGTTACGGATTGTTGGATCTAAGAATTCGATGTGGGTTGCTTTAAATCCTTTTGCAGAGTGTAGTCCTATAAGCAAAAGGACTGTGTAGGCATTGTTTTCCTTGAGCGAGCTTTTAAAAACGTATTTCTGGGGCTGTCATTAACTTCCTGGATATGCTGAAAGTCACATAGTTATCTGCTATTCGACGCAGAGTCGGGCATCTCATACATCGATAAGTCTTTGGCTATTCTTAATGGTTGAAAAGTATTATTAGTACAATTTTGTTGTGTTTAGTGCCAAGCGCCATAATAGGCTGCGTAGCGAATCGACTAACAGAGCTGGATTATTATTTTATTTCTAATTATGACAACCTCGAATTCTAAGATCAATGCGTATTGTCGGATGGTTTGACTACATCTTCCATAAGCAGCATTCGCTAAGGGGAGGACCAAGAAGGCTGTAAACCAAGACCAAGTCAAACTTTTCATTGATGGTCCAAAGTTCTAAGAAAGTTAGGTAAAGTTTTAAGAATTCCCAATAACTTCAACATCTTTGATTCGCAATTACTTAGCCATGGACCAAGTTGGTTACCTTCGAAAGTAAAACCTTTCAATAGGCGAACATTTATTTTGTTCATCAAGCAGCAATTAAGGTCCTTGGTTACTTGCTCAGAGAATGTATGATGTCCCTTTCGTTCATATAAGGCTCCTTCGCTATCAGGCTGATATGGATTTAAGGTCCACAGCGATACCGCATCTCTGATGAGTTAGTAGGACAGGTTATACTTAAAGAGTTCATGAAATGTTCCCATACAAAGACAATGCCTTCACTTCGACATTTCATGCATCCGCAGTATCAGTGACCTATTGGAGAACTTTTCCTACTCTGACGACATAGAAATTGTTGCTCCAATCATCGTGAATGAGCTTGCACAAGGATATTAAAAATTTCATGTCAATAGGTGGTTATATGTAAATCTTAGCTAGAAATCTTGGAAGGCGAACATTGGGCAGGTCTATTGTGGAATATCTTGAGAAATACCCATTGTGCTTCGCCAATACAGTTTTCTCAGTTTGGTATTTTCTTTTCTGAGCACTTCCTTCGTTGTGTTAGGACCTACCGCAAGAAAGGGCTAAGCTCCCATCGGCTTCTTCATTTCCCAAATTTTCCACGTGTCCTGGATAGCATCGTTCTCACTCAGGGCATTAAGCTTCTCTATACACCCCAGGATCAATGAGGATTTTACCTCGAAAAATGAGGGAGCCACCCGAATATCACCTAATATAAAGATACTCCCACTTCGATAGCCCTCTCTCGTGAAATTTAGGGAAGTCCACTTTGTTTGGGCCTTAAAAGCAGACAACTACAAACATCTGAAAGAGAGTTGGGGGAATGGGATTAATATTGAGTCATTGTGAAACCGCATTTTGAAGTCACAGGAAAATTTGAAGTTCATCTGACGGGCAAAAATGCATTGAGTCATTGTGAAACCGCATTTTGAAGTCACAGGAAAATTTGAAGTTCATCTGACGGGCAAAAATGCATTGAGTCATTGTGAAACCGCATTTTGAAGTCACAGGAAAATTTGAAGTTCATCTGACGGGCAAAAATGCACGAAACCTAGTCACCTTTAAAACTACAGTACGGGAGATTGACATACTATCTTCAATACTAGTCAACACATCCTTGTTATTTGTCCGGTCGACTAAAAACGCTGTCGTAACTAACTTAGTCGTTAGATTGCGGCGAATCCTTCACCAAATTCTGTAATTGTCGCTATTTTATCTGACTTAAGAAGGATAAAACTGTAGTTAATTTTCACTCACCTCGCATAGCGGTCCAGATCGTAGCCGGTAAAGTCCTGATAATTGTTATCCTCATTGTCCGGTAGTTCCGTGGTAAGACTTTGTGTGTTTTGCGCTGCAAAGGAACGTCCCATCGCCGACGTGTTGGCGCTCCAAGTATTGCAGGCATGTTGATGATGCCGCATTTGCACCGACTGCAAACTACAGTTGTCATCAATGCCGCCGCTGCCGGCGCCGCCGGGAGTGTGGAAGAAATCTGGTTGCGGTGTCGTAGACTTCAATGACAAGCAATCGTTGAACTTGGACGTAACATATGCCGCTGTGCTGTACAGCTCATGCTCACTCGGACTAGCCGCACAATTGCTATAGATTGGATTTGGCATTTTTTGTTGCGCATCGAACAGAAAGTCCGGCAGCATAACGCGCTTCACTGTCAGCGTAGTAAAATCAATGGCGGCTGTGCTCTCCTTCAGCAACGAGTCTACATTGTAATGTTGCACGGGATGATTATCCACTGCTAAGAGAATATCGCCGCCACGTAACGACCCAGTACGATGTGCTGGACTGCCGGGTTTCACATCGGATATAACAAAACCACCGTGACTAGAACCGTTCACGCTGATGCCCAGTCCCGATTTGCCCGCGCGCAACAACTTAACATTGTACACACCGCTTGACGGTACCACCGAATCGGCCATGTCGATTTCAATCTCCAATTCCAACCAATTAGCTGCTGGCGATTGTTGTGACTTCTGTGACTGTAGCGTGCGATTCTCGCCCAATAACTGACGCATCGTCTGCACGTCCAAATTGTACATTTTATTAATGGCCACAATGCGATCACCCTTCTGTATGGAACCACTGCGATCGGCCACCGAATCGGGCAACACTTGCGCAATTGTGACGGCGCGTCCGCAAGCAGTCGCTGGGCCAAGTACTATGCCGGAACCCTGACTGCAGTCCAGCAGCACAGGAAATGTTTCAGAGCGACAAATGCCAATGGCGCTGGTGGGATGATGCAGCGACGTCCCAAGCCCTACGTTCATGCTGCTGCCAACTCCAGTCGAAGATGCGCTGCTGCTGCTATTGACACCATTGCTGCTGCCACTGGCGCTACTACCGCCACTGGTGCTGCTGGCTGTGCCACTGTTGCTGCCCGTGCTGCCACCGCCATTGCAGCTGTTGCCGCCGCCAGCGCAGACTCCAACGTTAGCACCTCCTCCGCTGCCGCCTCCACCACTGCCACCACCCCCACCTTCCAGTGGCAGCGAACTTTTTCGTACAAAACGTTGGCGTTGCCGCGACTTGCGTGACTCCAATGTGCTGAAACCATACTTCGGACTGCCGAGCGTTGTGTGACCTAAAAGCACCAAAGTGTGAAAAAAATATATAGCGCGTAGAAAATTAATAAAATACAATGAAGAAAATGGAAAACTGTTAAGTGAAAATTATGGCGTGTGCGCGCCTGTGTGTATGAGTTGTGCGTTATGTGTCAGTTTAGTGAAAGTTCTTTTCACTTCCACACAAACTTGCCCCCAAACGCTATTTTTAGCGACCCCATCAATATTGTTTAATGGAAATTAAGTGCTCACCCGCACGCGAACACGTTTATGAGATTTTAAAGATTTTCAGAAATTTTACAATGGCTTTCTACGCATTGCACATTCAACAAATTTCAGCCATTTCTGGTGTTCCATCAATGGGTGAACTACTCGGCTGTAACAAACATTTCGTTCAAGCTGATTCAAAAGGCTAAACGCTCTCGATATTCATGAACTAATAAATATTTCAATAAAAGTGGAAAATACAAATTTTCTTCATGTATCAGATGTATTCATACATACATATGTAAAGCATTTATGTTGGATGTTGAATACGTACAGATTGATGCTATTACTAATAATCCCTATAAGCCAAAGAGTTATGCACGTATGTATGTGTGTACGCTTGTGTATAGGAAGGAAAGGTGAAAGCTCATTAAATTCATATGACAACTTTAAATTCCTTCTTTTTGTCTCACGATCTTTACCATGTAACCCTTTAGTACATTTTGAGTCATTTTTCAATATCTGTCTCTTAAAAAAATTTTATTTTCCATATAATTTTTAGCTTTGTGCTTAAATAGCGATTCCTGTAAATGGCATTTAAAGCAAATATTTAGGAAATGACTCTTCATGATTATGATATTAAAACTTTTACTTCTATGTAGATATACGTATTACACTGTGCCAAATAAAATTTCAAATTTTTTCTTTCGGTCCGATATGAAAATTTCGTTGTCGGTCACAGGCAAATAGTTGCGGCTAAGGCCTATTGAACAGGTAGTATCAGCTGATTTGATATATTTTTTTTTTTCAAATTATTTGGTCTCGAAAATGTCAAACATTTCTTCTCAATTTCTTCTCGAAAAAATTCTAAATTTTTAAAATATATTTGCATGTGAAACCTTTTTCCATACAAAACAAGCTATTGAATAGCAGCTTCGGTCGCTCAACTCAGCAGCACAAACGCTGATTACTGGGCCTTGCAAAGGATGGGTCAATGCTTCGAGCAGCAAACAAATTTATTAAGAAAGAAAGTGGCAAAAATTTGTATTTTTTTCAATATAAATTTTGTATTTTTATTTCTTTGTATTCACTGATTTTTATTTGTTTTACTTTTGATCTAAAAAAACGTTGAACTTATTTTGCTTTGCTCTTTTCTAAATAAAAGCTATCATTACTGTTAATAGTTTTATTATAATTTTTGGTCATGAATTTGTATCAACATTTTTATTTTCACTGTAAGAAAGCTATGTAAAATAAAACCGGTTTATGCGGTTTCTTCTTAATTTCAAAATCTGGAACCGGGTTTTTTCAAATTGCAATTTTTCGAATAACTCGAAACCGCTGGCAAAATATTTTTTTTATTTTCACTTTTATTTCAACATAGATTGATTAAGGGCCAAATTCACAGAGCGTAGTTTACTCAGAATCGGCAGATTTTTGTACTGAAATTCTGATATATGTGTTGTACTGAAAATCTGCAGTTAACTGTTGATTCTGAGTTACCTACGCACTGTGAATTCGGCCCTAAAAGAAAAATACTGATAAAAATAAAATATTTCACACAAACAGGGTTGAAATTTTGAAATTCCAAATCCCAATCACGAAAAATAATTTGTTGAAATGTTTCAATACAAGATTGCTGCATTGTATCAAGCTTTTGACCAATAGCCCAATATAAAAATGCACAAATCATCACAATTGGTACAAATGTACCAATCGAGTGGCAATGCCTTATTTATGCAATTAAAAAAAATATATATTCAAAGAACTTTCGTAAAAATTTCCAGTTTTTAATTAGATTCTGAGTATGCAGTTTTGTAGCCCATTGAATTCTAATAGAATAAAGTACAAGTTTCGAATAGATACAAATTTCGGTTATTTTTAGAATTTTTAAAAAAGCTCGAAATTTTTACGAAAGTTTGTTTAATTTTTTTAATATTGCACAAAGTTGGTAACTTGGATTTACACGGGGTTTGTTAAAGAAAAAAATAACCAAAATTAAATAACAACAAAAATAATATGTTAAAACTTGGCAAAAAGTAGTTCGGCTATAATAATTTGACCACTGTATGTATTTTTTTATATATATCTAATTGGACATGCACATTGTACATAAAGGTATGTACATAACAAAATTAAAAAATAATGTATTTTTTTTGCCTTTTTTCAAAGTACATTTTCCCTTTTTTCAAGTTTAAAGCCCTGGTTATTAACATCTTTTTATCGGAGACGCTACATTTCGGTACTATTTTTCTATACATATGTATATTAAAAATAAAAACCAAGATCGGGTGCTCCTTCTTCAAGCCATCGCCACTTTTAATTTAAATAAAAAAAACTTGATTATATTTGAATACCACATATTTAGTTGCCTTTTCCTTTGCAAAAACTACAAGATTTTCAAATTTTTTAAGTGGCTCTAACAAATCTAGCCAACTAAAAACGACGCAGTACTTAGAATGGAGGCAAACAATTTCAAATTTCTCCACAAACGAGCATCTAACATGCTAAAAACAGATTATCAACTTAATAACTATAATTTTATTTATGCATTTGCATCATTAATTGCACACGGAAAAGTAATAAAATTCAACAAAAGTCCCCTATTTCCCTACAACTACTACATTACATAAATTTGATCAAAAGAAATGTTGGGAAATAAAAAATTAAAAATAGCAAATTGCTTTATGCTACACCGCTTGCCACACTCGAAGTGTGTCTCTCCCCGATTTAATGGAGTTCTTTTTCGAAAGCACAAACTTTGAAAACGTAATCTATGGGCTTCTGCTTGCATGGCACAAACTCCCACATCTCGATAATGTGTGCGACTGTCCACTTTGCTTTCTTTCGCCACAATACGTTTTCATATGCTGCATTCACTTATGTATCTAGAATGTTGTTGGGAGCATGTTATTTTATGATCAGCAAATGTCAGAAACCCATATTGACATAAGTCAAATTGTGGCTGACTGACGCCATGCTAACACTTAAGCTCGCAGGCGATATGATCATTTTGATGTGGGCGCCATTGCTGAGTTGGCTTTATATGCATCTTCTTTCATTTTCACGATTTTTCCTTTGGAATTAAGTGAAAGAAAAAATGATGAAATTGCAATCGGATTAAGGCGCTAAGAAGAGTTGGTAATATTTTTTTAGTTTAGGTTTGCTGTTTAACCAAGTGTTGCAATATATACATACATATATGTTTTTCACAACCTAACGTACTACGCCGCGTATGCGTAAAATTACTTTGCGTGATTTTTTGAAGTGAAACTTCTTTAGCGGCGGTTGGTTAGTTGGGAGTAAA